GAAATATTCCCTGTGATTTTTAAAGTCTTTTTATGTGTTTTAAAACAATGGGATTTCTTCCTCAAATTGCACAGTGCATCCACGTGTGCATAGGATAAAAAAATATCTTTTTATAGCTCAGTAATGTCTCATGTGGGATGAAACAAAAACATTTTTTTTCACTATTAGAAGTGTATATGGGTGTATGAGTCTTTTAGCTGGGAGAAAATGCCACCCATGCTGCTCCTCACCACCGCTATGTGATTAATGGACTGGCTTTTTTTTTGCTGAGAGATGCTGATTACAAGATGTTTTGACTAAGATCTGATTAGCCAAGCCAAAGCCATATTTTATTACACACCAAACATTCCACTTACTGGTACTGTGTTCCACTGAACATACCTCATTAAGTGTTGAGTATTGGTTGGATATCCCATTCTCCATTTAAATAACTCCTACTGTAGTGTTTTCAACCTCGAAGATGTTGGTGACACCGAGTTAAACCGCTAATGAAGACCCAGGTGCGATTCAAGCGTGTTTATTGCCTTCATCGAAATGCGGTGAAAACTGTAATAACAGAAAATAAACTCAATCTCTATACAGAGTCGTTGCATACAAATTAAAAGTCCATCAAACTGAATAAAGTGACATTTCAGCATAAACAACAACATAATGCAACTTACGGCATTCCTGTCTGATAATTCAGCGTGGATGGCATCAGATTTCACATTTCCATACCGTTTGCAGCACATGGACCTCTCTGTTTCCTAGCGAAACCCGGAACCGGAAGTGCGTCACCACAAACCGGAAGTAGATTTTACCGATAATATTTTTCTATAAAAACGTAAATAAACTATGAATTATACATCTATTCAACTTCTAATCACTTTTAGCAGCATTAAAACATTTTTTAATATTATTTCTTTAACCCATGAACTTATCTATTTAACAAAATGCCTTAAAGGCAACACACTCCCCGTCTGGCCTCCTGAGGCCACTGTACTAAACAAACATTATACATTCAGTCCTTTGGCATGAGAAGAATAACCTCGGTAACCGGTCGCATAAAAGTCTTTACACAGCCTTAGTCCCATGCCTTCACCTCGATCTTCCTTACTCGGTCGTCCTTGCCTGGGAAAGTGGCAGTGACTCTTGCCATGGGCCAGCTGTTCCGTGTGACCTGCTTGTCCTTAAGCAGAACCAGATCACCGACTTGGAGGTTTCTGCGGGATACGGTCCATTTCTGCCTTTGTTGCAGTGTGGGCAAATACTCTCGCCTCCAGCGGGTCCAAAACTGATTTGAAAGAGCTTGGACCTGCCTCCATTGCTTGGTGTAGAGGTCTTTGTCCAGGAAGTCTCCAGGGGGTGGTAAAAGGCAAGATTTCTGTGTAAGGAGTGTTGAGGGAGATAGGATAAAGGGGTTCTCTGGATCAGAGGAAACTGGGAGAAGTGGTCTTGCATTTATGATGGCTGTGATTTCGGCCATGAGTGTGGACAACACTTCGTGAGTCAGTTGCGACTTATTTTGAAGTAGCATGGAGTCCAGGATTCTGCGGGCGACGCCGATCATGCGCTCCCAAGAGCCTCCCATGTGTGAGGCATGTGGCGGATTGAATTCCCAGGTACAACCTTGATCTGATAGATATTGTTGCATTGATTTGTCCATTCCTAGTTCTTTCGAAGCTCCAATGAAATTGGTGCCACGATCGGATAGCAGCTGTTTGGCGGGGCCTCTTAGTGCAAAAAAACGACGTAGGGCGTTAATGCAGCTGGATGTGTCTAGAGATTCGATCACCTCTATATGCACAGCTCTCGAACTCATGCAGGTGAACATGATAGCCCAACGCTTGCTCTCGGCTTGTCCGCCCCTGGTACGCCTTGTTGTTATAGTCCAAGGCCCAAAAACATCAAGGCCGACGTAGGTGAAAGGAGGACATGTTTTGAGGCGTTCGGGTGGTAGGTCTGCCATGCGTTGTTGTTCCTGTTTTCCGCGCAGCTTGCGGCAGATTATGCATTTGTGGATTACTGAGTTTACTAGTCTTTTGCCGCCAATGAGCCACAAACCTGCAGCCCTGATTGCTCCTTCCGTCAGATGACGGCCTTGGTGTTTCACCAACTCGTGGTGGTGACGAGTGAGCAGAAGGGAGATGTGACTGTCTTTGGGGAGAATAACTGGGCTTTTCTCAAAGTTCTCAATTTCGGAGTGTTTGAGTCTGCCTCCCACGGTAATGAGACCGTTCTGTAAGACTGGGCTGAGCTTTTGTAGGGGGCTCTGTTTTGAGACTGGCTTTCCAGTGTTAAGAGCAGAAAGCTCCTTTTGAAAGTGAGCCTTTTGTGTCTCTTTGAGAATAACGTTCTTTGCTTGAGCTATTTCCTCTGCAGTACGTGGGAGGTGGCATCTGTGCCAGCCTTTGCATACACTGTTTGGGTTAGTCCCATTGAAGGATTTTGCAATGTGGACAAGATTTGCTATTGCTCTGACCAACGACTTGAATGTTGAAAACATCTCGAAGCGTTTACTGCTTAGTACTTGGAGATGAGTGGCGTAAGTTTTGACTTGTGGCCTAATTTCAGAGTCTTTGTCTGGTTTGATCAGCTCAAATGTTTCACTGACATATGTTGTTTCCACAGGAGAATGGTGTATGAAGGATGGTCCAGTGAACCATGTGGACTTTGTGAGTTGAGCGGCTGGCAAGGACCTTGACGCATGGTCTGCCGGGTTTTCCTCTGTGCGCACATAATACCATTGCTCCGGCTTTGAAGACTGGCGAATGCGCTGTACTCTGTTGTGGACATATGTGTAGAATCTTTTTGACTCGTTACAGATGTAGCCTAGTACTACCTTACTGTCCGAATAGAAGCGCACTGCGTCGAACTGTAGATCTAACTCATCTTGAATGAGATCAGCCATTTCTACTGCCAAGACGGCTGCGCACAGTTCTAGTCTCGGAATAGTAGGTTCTGACAAGGGAGCTAGCTTTGCTTTGCCCATTATGAATCCGACCTCAACTTTGCCGTCTGTTTGAACTGCTTTCAAGTAGGCTACGGCTCCTATCGCCTTAGTTGATGCGTCTGAGAATAGGCATAGTTCTTTGTGCGTTGTTTTACTGAGTGAGGTAGAAGTGTAGGTCCTAGGAACATGTAGATCCTTTAGGTCCTGAAGGGAATTTCTCCATGTTTCCCATTTACCTTGTTTGTCCACTGGAAGGGGTGTGTCCCAATCCGAGTTTTCTGAAGTGAGTTCTCTGAGTAGAGTTCTTCCTTGGATTGTGATAGGTGCTAATAGGCCCAGAGGATCAAAGACACTATTAACAGCCGACAGAACGCCACGCCGAGTGAATGGTTTGTTTGTGGTGGCCACTGAGTAAGTGAACGTGTCCGTTGTTATTTCCCAGACGAGGCCAAGGCTTCGCTGAGATTGTGTTTCTTCACCACCTAAATCTAGATCCTTAATGACTGGTGCACAATCTTCAGGGCAAAAGGCCTGCATGACTGCCTGTGAGTTAGACGCAAACTTATGCAGGCGCAGGTTGGATTCTGCGAGTGAGGCTTGTGTTCTTTGCAACAAGTCTATAGCCTCATCAGGAGAGGGCAAAGAGATCAAGCCATCATCTACATAAAAGTGCCTCTCCACAAAGTTGACTGTGTCAGCACCATATTCCTTTGCACCTGCTTTAATGGCTTTGCGTAGTCCGTAAACGGCAACTGCGGGAGATGGTGAGTTTCCAAATACATGAACTTTCATGCGATAGTCAATAACTTCCTTGTTTACATCATTGTCCTTATGCCACAGAAAACGGAGGAAGTTACGGTGGTCCTCACGCACCATAAAGCAGTGGAACATTTGCTGTATATCCGCCATGACAGCAATGCTCTCTGTTCTGAAGCGGAGAAGGACTCCAATGAGCGTGTTGTTTAGATCGGGACCAGTGAGGAGAACACTGTTGAGTGAGACTCCGGTGTACTGGGCACTAGAATCAAAAACAATCCTGATCTGATTTGGCTTTTTTGGGTGGTAAACTCCGAATGTTGGGAGATACCAACACTCCTCTCCCTGTGTTAGTGGAGGAGCCACTTCTGCGTGACCATTGGATAAGATCTTTTCCATAAATGCCAAATATTGTCCCTGCATATCAGGTTTCCTATTTAGGTTGCGTTTTAGGGATGAGAACCTACTGACTGCCTGCTCTCTATTGTTTGGCAATCGCTGGCGCGGTTCTTTGAAAGGAAGCGGGGCGACCCAACTGTTGTCCTCGTCTCTGTACATAGCATTTTCCATTATTTCTAGAAACAGAGTGTCTTGTATTGAGAGAGCTGGTTTATTATCATTTTCTGTCCGACTGAACACTGTTTGTCCCAGGGTTTGTTCAGATGCTTTACCTGGCCTATTTGTGTGTGACATTTCTTTGAGTTGCAGAAGGCTGTCACATGGACCGAAAACTGTAGGACGGCCATTTTCCAGAACGACAGTTTTTAGAGTGCTAACTGTGGGCCTATGAACTTTACCCAGACATACCTCCCCAACTACAACCCACCCTAGATCTAAGCGTTGGGCGAAGGGTGCGTTATGGGGGCCATTGACTCTCTGCCTGACCTTGTGAGCACGTAAAACATCTCGCCCTAGCAGCAGGAGTATTTCAGCATTTGGGTCTAGCTCTGGGATGTACTCGGCTATATGCTGAAGGTGTGGCTGGCATAGCACTGCACTAGGGGTTGGGATTTCACTCCTATTGTTGGGAATGTCCTGACACTCAATAAGCGGAGGTAGAGGGATAACCACTGATCCATCTAGTGACTCAACCTGAAAGCCTTCAGCCATTTTACCCCATGTTTCTGCAATACCAGAGCATGTCCTAAGATGGTAGGAGAAGGGTTCGGTTTTGATGTCAAAAAGTTCAAAGAACTCTGGCCTGGCCAAGGAACGATTACTCTGATCGTCTAATATTACATAAGCTTTCATAGCTCTGTCCTTGTAACCTTTAGGGTACACCCATGTGAGACATATCTTAGAACATGAACGACCCCACTGACCTGGACCACACACGTCTGTGCAGCTTGTTGTGACGTTGACTGTGTCGGGACTGTTTTCTCCCTCCCCGCCATTCTCTTGTGCAGGTGGAGGAGCCTCGTTAGCCTGTGGTGGAGGACCAGGATGCATGACTGTGTCGTGTCTTGTACTATCACATTCAGAGCACTTTACTGTAGCCTTACAGTCCTTAGCAAGATGAGTGTCTGAAGAGCAGCATTTGAAGCATATTCCTTTCTCTTTGAGGAAGGCCTTTCTCTCGTCCAGCAGTTTGTTCCTAAACGTTCTGCATTTTTTGAGCGGATGTGGCTTGTTATGCAGCGGGCAGTTCCTGTTGATGTCCTTGTTGGGGGGTGAAACATCGGTTTTGTGCACAGTTATTGGTCTACTTGTGTTACTTGTATTAAAGTTCTTTAAGTAAGGTTTTTCTGGTTTATAATGTGTTTGGCTGTTTTGTTGGTTGAAACTAGGATCGTTGCGTTTCTTTGCCTCTTTGCTTATGAATTTACAGAAATAGTCAAAAGGTGGGAAACAGCCATTATTTTCCTCCTTGTACTGAGAGCCGTGTGACATCCACTTCTCCTGAAGTCCGAATGGAAGTTTGTCTACGACTGGTCCGATTCCGCGAGAAGTGTCCAGATACAGTAGGCCAGGGAGATATCCGTCTTCCTTGGCGCCTTGAATCTCTTGCAAGAGATCCCCTAGCTCACGGAGTTTGACATGATCTTTGACTGTAATTTTGGGAAAACTGTCCAATCGCTGGAAAAGTGACTTTTCGATTATTCCGGGTGCTGCATAACATTCGTTTAGTCTCTCCCATGCTTTGCTCAAGGCTAATGTGGGGTTGTTGACGTATACTGAGCGTATGCGTTTTACCTGGTCACTTGACTCCTTTCCCAACCATTTTGTCATGAGATCCAGCTCTTGAATGGGACTGATTTGAACCTCAGCTGTGGCACTAGTAAATGAAGAGCACCATGCTCTGAAATTCTCTGGCCTATCGTCAAATTGGTAAAGGCCTGAAGTGATGAGATCTCGGCGTGCCATATACTGGGCAAATGGCTCAGCTGGATGTGAGATACTGGCCGGTGCGTTATAGTGAGGCGTGAATGGGGAGCTGAATGGGTTGAGAGAGGTATTTGGTTTCTCTAATTTGAATTTGGTTTCACTTCTAAACTGGCTGGGCATGCTGTGATTAGTCAAGGCAGCAACATTGTCCTTAGTAAGCTTGGGTTCAGAACTAATGGGTGGCGGCTCTAAATTGCCTTCTTCTGGGGGATGCCATGTTACAAAGGTGTTGGGTGAGCTTACTTGTGGGCGCGAGGTGGTCGGTATTTCTGGAGCAGACTGTGATTGTTCAATGTCCCTTTGAGATCGCACATATTCGCTTGTACGTTCTAATTTGACTTTTTCAGATGATTTCCTGCTCTCTGGCTCCTCTTGTATTGCCTCAGCTTCTTCTAGCACTTGTGCCTCAGCTACTGCAGCATCGGCTTCTCTTTGCAACGTTAACATTTCCAATTCTGCATCTATTTTAGCCTTTTCCAGATCACTTCGTGCTTTTTCCACTTTCAATTGTGCTTCTTTACTTGCATAGAGAGCTCTAACCTTAGCAGCTTCTGCTTTAGCTCGAGCGTGGGCAGCGCTTGCTGCTGATCCAGACGAGTGGCCGGTCCTGAAGCTGCGTGCAGACTTGTTGCTGGTAGCCATTTTGACCGCGATGAATAATCGAATGGTGCCTTTTCACTGTAGTGTTTTCAACCTCGAAGATGTTGGTGACACCGAGTTAAACCGCTAATGAAGACCCAGGTGCGATTCAAGCGTGTTTATTGCCTTCATCGAAATGCGGTGAAAACTGTAATAACAGAAAATAAACTCAATCTCTATACATAGAGTCGTTGCATACAAATTAAAAGTCCATCAAACTGAATAAAGTGACATTTCAGCATAAACAACAACATAATGCAACTTACGGCATTCCTGTCTGATAATTCAGCGTGGATGGCATCAGATTTCACATTTCCATACCGTTTGCAGCACATGGACCTCTCTGTTTCCTAGCGAAACCCGGAACCGGAAGTGCGTCACCACAAACCGGAAGTAGATTTTACCGATAATATTTTTCTATAAAAACGTAAATAAACTATGAATTATACATCTATTCAACTTCTAATCACTTTTAGCAGCATTAAAACATTTTTTAATATTATTTCTTTAACCCATGAACTTATCTATTTAACAAAATGCCTTAAAGGCAACACACCTACTTTTCTCAGTTGTCCAGAGTTTGTTACACTTGCAGTGACTTAATGACTTGATGATTGATGGCTTAGTGCCTGATATAACAATAAGACTATTAACTGTTAACTAGAAACCTGATTTGTTGTCCTTAGAGCTTTTTTCCACTTCGCTGTTTCTTGCAGGAACAGTGAAGCATTTTACCAGTGATGATTTGTCCTGAAAATGACGTTAAAGTAATTCAATTGTCCCATTTCATGAAAAAAAGCCCACTTAAAAGATGCCCCCTGTTATTGTGGGTAACCAGGCTCAGTGGCTAGGGTGGGATGATCATTGTTTTTGGGCGTCTTTCTCATGTGGTGAACTTTTCCAGCGGTGCCCCTCCTGTAATAAAGAAAGAAAAAGATCTTCATCATCCCTTTTTTCTGTCATAGTTGTTCTCTCCCCTCCCCACCCTCCCTGAGGCGTGTGATGTAGATGTTGAGCGCCTCACGTCTGCTTGCCTATGATGCTTGTTGTGGGTTGTCTGTGGGTACATTTAGAAGCGCTCCCCCGGCAGCGGTTGAGCCACAGAACAAACGTGTCTGACATTAAGCTTCTCGGCAGGCTCGCGGGGCATCAGCGCCGTCTGCTTCTAATTGGGGGAAAATTTGTGGCACATGGAGTCTGCTTGTCGGAGGCTGGTGAATTGGTTGCAACACCTCCCCATTTTCCCCCTGCTGTTGTTGTGCCACTGATGAGACAAAGCAGGCTCAAAACCTCAGTTATTTCAACACTCTCTTCTCCAACGCTATTGGATAATGTTTTATGATATGCGCTTTGTCTCCCTGTTTTAGGGTATCTAAATCTGTATGTGTTTTTCTTTAAGGAATTGGATAGAATAATATTACCTGACACGTGGTAAATAAAATCCTTCAAAGCTTTGCACTGTTGAATATTAGGAGGTCCTGTCCATCTTCTGTATAGTCCTTGGCTTATATGTGGCCAAATCCCTTTATTTACATTAGTAAGAATGCAAGACACTCTTCCATGCTTGTACTTTTTATCCTCCACTTTTATGCAACCAGGTTTGGGGCAGCAGGCTTATAAGAGACAAGCAGGCTTTCCTGTCCGCAGAAACCTACTCCAACTCCTTTGGGAGAAGCCTGAGGTGTTCCAAAGCTCGATAAGACATAGGCAATTTCTGAAAAAATCAAATTGTTGCCCTTAGTTTCTGTTCTTTCCCCTTTTGTGGGGTTAACAGTAAGGGAACTATCATGGGTAGAAAAAGAACTGCGGACTGCTCTGCCAAATCTGAATAGCCTTTAATCTTCAGGATGTCGTTACAAGACTGAAGACAAATGGGTGATGGTTAAATTTAGTCAAAAGCATTGTGAAAAAAGAACTAAAAGAAAGGCAAGACATACCAATATACAGAATGGCTTTATAGCAACCATAATAGCAACCAAAAAATATGAAGGTGGTTACGCTTGCAAAATTAGATAGATTTCAATTGAGCCAATATTCTTCCAGTGCGTCCTTGGCCATTCTCCGGTCCTCCCTCTAGTGGAATGTACTTGGGAGACTTCCTGAAGGAGCTGTCCAGGATGCATTTGGTGCCTAAATGCCTGGGCTACCTTAGATGTCCTGATACCCTTATTATGTGGAGGGTTAATGGCTTCAGTCTGAGCCCCAAACTGAATGGCTGATCTCCTCACCTTTTTTCTAACAGAGGTTGGGAGTGTTGGGAGTGCTGGTGAGAGCAGTGCGCTTGTGCTCTGAGAAGGTTCCAAGTACCCGGTTCATTCCCAACAGCCTCCAATCTGTGTTTCTGAGCAAAACCCTTAACCCCACACTGCTCCCTTTGCGCCACACAATGACAGCCCACTGCTCCCCAAGGGGATTGGTCAAATGCACAGAGTGAATTAAAGGGATTTACGTTTACATATTATAGCTGCTCATATCAGGGAATCTCGGTCATGACCCACATTTTACCGTATTACTTGAGAGTAGGAGCATAGACAGACCAGTAAACTGAAAACGTTGCCTCATAGTTCAGCTCTTTCTTATTTACAACAGACCCCTGCAGCATCTGCATTACTAGGGAAGCTGCACCAATTGGTTAGTTGACCTCACGTTACCTTGTTCCCCTCACATTTGTACAAGACTGCAAGGCAGGAACTCCAACCTGTGGCTTGCAAGCCGCACTTTCCGGTCGAGGTACAGTATGTAGTAGCTGGTCTTATCCCAGCTATTTCCCATTCGGCTACAGACCTCCATAGTCCATGCTGTAGGCCTGGGGCCCTTCAGTTCAGGCCTTCAAGGACCGGTGTCTTGCACCTTTTAGCTGTTTCTGCTCAATTCATTCAAGTTCAAAAATGTGTGTGTCGCAGTGAATGCAAATATGCCCCAGCCCCTTCCACAGACACTCTGGTGCACCTCTCCAAATCTGTAGGTGACCACAGACAGTGCCGCAGACAGGAGGCCTCTGATTGGTCAATTCTACATCCGCTCTACAATATGCGTTTTTCCTGTTTGGTACCTTACCTGCTTGTTTTGTTTGTATGACCGTCATTGTGGAAAACGACTTTTAAAGTTGGACCAGCTAGAAGAGCGTGGTGCGTGAGAACACTGGGATCCTTTTTCCACCTGGATCTTTGCTCTTTTTTGCCCTCATGTCCCTCCCTTGTTGCACAAACTTGCCCCCACTTCCTCACTAACTCTGCCGTATCTAGACTTACAACTAGTTTGTGATTGTCCCTCTTGCGTTGTGGAATAGCATAGCGCAAGCCATGCTTCAAAATTGGACATAAATCAAAAATATCTGCGGCAAGCTCACTTTGACACACTGCTTTGGGAGTATAACCAGCCCTTTAGGAGTGTGATCCTCTAGAGTTGCAACAACACATTTGGGACATCTACCAGGGGCACTGTCCCCAAAAGCTACGCAATGTTAAAGATTTAGGCCCGGGTGATTAATGAGTCCAACACCTTGTCTCCAGTCTCTTCTTTCACCAGGGAAGGTGTGATAAAATTATGAGTTTCTTAAAGTATTTCATCACTTTGGGCACAATGTCCTCAGCAGCTCCGTACCCCTGCTGTGCTAAAATAAAAAACAGAATGCATTTCAAATATGGTAATGTGATTGACACAAAAATTAGGCCTGTGAAGATCCCAATCTTTGTTTTTATAGCAAAATAAAGAACACCATTTTTACTTTGAGAAACAGAATTTAAAATCCAATAAATATTTGAAATTGCACTGCATTTGATAAAAATAACAAAGTTTCATACTAATATTCTAGATCGTTAGAGATGTATGGATCACAGTATTTACCTATTGCCTTTAACTCCCAATAATATTTGGTTCTTGTTTAGCTGTCTGAAAGTATCCATTCAAAATGAAATAAGGGTAATTTTACTGTCTGTTTTGTTGCTACACAACTTAAAAGCTGAAGTGTGTAAGCTTTACCTCCACTTATGAGCTTTAATGTCTAGGATCAAGATGTCAAGATGCTGGAAAATATAAGCAGTTTCAAGTGTGGTAAAGCTGGTGGGGATTCTCTGCTTACATATATACTAACAAAATCATGTCAGGTTTTTTTCTATTCTAAAAGTTCAAAAGGACAAGCTACAAGGAAACACATCTGTCCTTAAATTATTTAAAAGTAATAGAAACCAAATTAAATGATCCAAAAACAGTTTTAAATCTCCAACAAAGCATGATAAAGACAAATTGCATAACTAGATATCTGATTTGTGACTTTTATTTTTTTCATTTAATCTTCCAATGTTTTATTATTCGGCTAAAGTAAAACTGCTAAACTTGATTAGTGTCACTTTAGCTACAATATTATGCCATTGCCAGCTTTACTGCTGTGTTTTGTGTACTTAACACTGGCATTGACCTGAGATGCTAGAACAAACAGTGCTGGTTATTGCAGCTTTGAAACCGCCAACCCCCCTAGCCTACTCTCAACACAGTCTGATCTTTTGAAGTGTCATTAGAAGGATTTTTCCCTTGGCTTTTTGGCTGGGCGCTACCCTAACCCTGTAAAAGACTGTGGTTTCCCTGCACGCTGCTGCTGAGGCTGGTGGCTTATTGGGTGACACTCCCCAGAGCAGTGTGAGGCCTTTCATATGGTGCATATACTCCGGCTGCTCCAGTGAGCCATATATCAACCAGTGAAATTAGAAAAAAACAGGATGAAATGGATGATTTTTTTTTTTCTTTTACTCTTGGAAGTTCCTGACCACTTTGTGAAAGGCTTTTATTGTGTCACTCAGTGCTTAGCTGTTACTGGAGTGAAATACTCTATATACAATATGCTGCCTAAGGCTTTATAATTCCCTAGCTTTTGGCACTTGGGATACACCCTCACATTTCAAGCTGTGTGTTTGGATTATTTATCAGGATGGACGTGATTTGACCTCAGGAAGTGGTTCCAGAAACCCTTTTCTACGTCATTAGGACCATTCACTTATTATTACAGAGTACAGGCAGTATTCAAACTTTAAAACTCAAAAGAATGTTGACTAGCTGCATTACAATGAATCTTTTATTGTTCTTCTGTTGTTAAATATGTTATTTCATGGATTTTCAGCAATTCTCATTCATCAGCATAAAAAAATTTTTTGATTATTTTTTTGCTGATAATTGTTCTTCCTGCAGAATTGTATGGCTTTGATGTCCTCATTGACTCCAACCTCAAACCCTGGTTGTTGGAGGTCAATCTTTCTCCCTCTTTGTCCTGGTACGTGAATCACTTCCTTTGTTGTTTTTACTTTGTACTTGAGGAGAATCTCACAATTAAGAATTTTTAATTACCTTTAAAGAAGGCGATGTTTTATAAGTCTGTAATAAATTTAACCACTCTGGCTTTTTACAGTGATGCACCCTTGGACCTGAAGATTAAGGCTAGCATGATTGCAGACATGTTTTCACTAGTGGGTGAGTGGACAAGAAAGCAACTAATGAAAACATCCTCTGTTTTGTTTTATGTTTTTTTCCATGAGAAATTAATGCAATAATTAATT